CGCCGCAAGGGCACTTCCCGGGTCTGTCCGCTGCCTTAGGTCACAGCAGACACCTCCTTACAGCTCAGGTCACAGCGCACACGCCCCGGGAACAGGCAGCCTGAGACACGCAGGCACGGCCCCTGAGACCCACCCAGAAGAGACAGATACGCCGTGACAGGGAGGCCGCAGAAACACAGAGATATACGGAGACACGAGTAGACACACACACACGTGCAGTGCGGCTCTGGGAGCTGCTTTCCCGCACCCAGGGCCCCCGTCCAGCCCAGCCTCCACGCTCCCAGCCAGGAGAGAAGCTCAGAGCCCTGTCCAGCTGCACAAGGTGACCCTGGGGTGTGAGGGCGGGGGCCGCTCCTGGGTCCTTCGGGCAATACCCTCGCCTCCGGGTGGGGGCCAAGGAGCCGCCGTCATTTGGGGTGTGTGAAGGGTGGGGGTGGCCCAGGGGACACGGACCTGGTAGGGATGCTCTGGCCTCCTCCTCAGGCTCTGGGGCTCACAGCAGGGCTGAGGCCCCCCAGGGAGGGGGAGGCCCCACCTTTTGGGGCCGGGGTTACAGCACAGCGGGCTCCGGGCTGGCCGCAGTGGACGCTCAGTGGTGAGCTGGATGCATCATCAGCATCATCATGGTATCTTGGGCTCCTCCTCACCCAGGATCCCAGGGCCACCCAAGGGTCTCGGATAAGGGCTCTCCCCATGGGCAGGGGATAAAGGAGCCCTGCTAGAGTTGCTGTCCCCTCTGGCCCCAAAAGCCAAAACCAGCAGAGGAGCTGGGCCCAAGGAGAGAGAACAGGGAGGGGAGTCTAGTCCTTTGCCTTTGCCTGCCCAGCATTGACCCTGGGACCCTCCACACCCCACCTGGAGGCCAGGCTCCTGCATGGAAGGCCCCAGTGTCCCCCTTGCCCCTGCCTGGCCTCACTGTCCTGAGGCCCATGGAGCCTCCTCCAGGGCAGGCTAGGGAGCTTGGCACAGCAGGGTGGAGGTTGCCAGCCGGGTTGGGGCTCTGGAATACCGCCAAAGGGACCGGCACACTTGCCCCTGGCTACCTCCTGCTGGTGGTGACGACTCTGCCTGGCTGGCCCGGGGTCCGGCCCACCAGCAGGAACTACCTAAGGCGGGCAACAGGGGGGGGGGGGTGACCGTGGTTTCCCCAAGCGAGGAGGAAGTGCAGGGGAGGCTGTGTTCTGGGAGAAACAAATGTTTCTAAAGCTCCAAGCCAAGGAAGGGCCTTGACCCCATGTGTGCCCACCCCAGCCCTGAATCAGAGAAATGGCCCTCCGGCAGTAAGTCTCCCTCCCTTGCCAGAAATACCCCCAGGGTCTGCCCCCTCCCCCCAGCTCGCGTTATATTTAGACGTCCAGGCAGAGATGTCCAAGGCTGTCTGGAGCCCAGGGTGAGGTCTGGGCAGACATGTGGATTTAGGAGTCATCCACCCCAGGGGGGTGAGAACCTCCTTTGGGTCACATACTCATCAGGAAGCCTGCTTAGGAGGCAGGATTCTTGCCCCAGAGGAAAGCAAACGTCCTTGCAGAGGGGGTGAAATGAGGGAAGAGCCACTGGCTTGAGCCCCCTCTTGCCCCTGCCCTGAGGTCCCCTCCTGGTGGCCAACCTCTCTCTCACTGATCAGCCAGGAAACACACCCATACTGTCTGTGAGGTCCACCTGGGCGGGACCTACCAAACTCTGGACCAGTATAAAGGACACCATGCCTGACTGGCCAAGACGATCAGGACGGGCCAAGCTCTGTCCAGAACCTGCCCCGGTGGGCAGCTCACTGTGGCCCTCTGCCCACTCACACTGGCTGCCACTGAGGCCCGGCAGCGCCACTAGGAGACTCCAGAGCCAGCCTGCTGTCCCAGCCTGCAGAGCAGAGAGGAAGAAAACCTCCCGCCTCCCACGGCTGCACCAGCCTTCTCACCCCCAGCCTAGGTAGGCCAAGGCTCTGGGTCCAACCACCAGCCCGACCTTGGCCACAAGCCCCCGGAGGACCCCTCATCACCAGCTTCCAGGACCCCGGTGCAGCGGGCACTGGAGGTGGCTTCAGTTCAGCCAAGAGCACGTTAAGTGTCAGGGCAGCTCAGCCCCGAGGAGTCAGGTGGCACCCCCCAGCCCTCCCAGGCAGGAGGAAGCCGCCTGCACCCCTGCCCAGCTCTCAGGGAGCGTCTCCACCGCGGGGCTTTTCTGGCCAAAGCTCCCCGCCCCCCACCCCCGACCTGCCGGCGTCCCACCGCCAGACCCAACCCAGAGCCCGGAGAGGTCGCGATCTCGGCACGCCCGCCTGCGTGGCTGTCCCTCTAGCTCCCCACGCGCTGCCGCGCCGCGCCGCGCCTCGGCGGCCCCACCATGCGACATGGGGATGGCGACGCCCCCCTGCCCACCCTCACCCGAGTGGCCCGCGGGCGCTCCAGACCGACCACCGGCGCCTGGCCCCGCCCCCTCCGGGCCTCCGGTCCCCGCGGGATGGGGAGGCACCGCCCCCTCGGCCTGCCGCGGCCGCGCCGACCCGAGCGCTGCGCCGGGGCGCCACCGTGTGGCTCTTCTGGGAACTGCACTGCCCGGCCTCCCAGGAAGGCCCTTCCTTCCGTAGAGGTAACAAGCAATAAAGATGCTCAGGCCAGTGACAGTTACTGCTGGCGGGTCTGCAGCACTGTCGCGACAGGCTCCGTGCTAAGTACGATCTATGCAGAACGCTCTTAATTCTCCCATCAATCTGAGGATCTCCTATCATCCGTCCTCCCTTCCAGATGGGGAAACTGAGGCCCAAGCCACATAAACAGTGACAGTGCAGGTCGGATTTGATCCCACGAAGCCTGGCTGCAGGGCCTTGGTTTCAATCCCATCCATCTTGCTTGGGTCCCAAGGGTTGGCACCATCCTTGTGCACATTGGAGTCTCCCCAGGGGGCTTAAGAAAAGTTTCGGGGTCCTGCCCCACAGGCCGATCCAGCTGGCCCAAGTGACTCATCGATGCAGCCAGGCCTGAGAACCACCTGCTCACTCCCAGAAAGCCCTTTTTACGGGAGAAAGTGGCTCAGGAATGTCAGGATGACCCACAGACAGTGACAGCAGAGCAGGGGTGGGGGAGCCAGGCTCTGCTCTCCCCACTCACCTCAGGCCTCCAGCCTGGATTTCAGGTGCTCAGAGGCAAGCCCAGGCCTTCAGCGACAGGGCTTGCTGAGCTGGTGGAAGGCCACTGAGTGCAAAGGGCTACAGGTTTGAGTCCTGACTCCGCCATGGCCTGGCTGTGTGCTGGGGCCTTGACTTTCTCATCTGTGAAATGGGTCATACTCAGGAGGATTTGAAGAAATAATGAAGCCTCGGGCTCAGCAATGGATAGGTATCTGCTAAGTCAGAGGATGGTAAAGGCAAATTTGAAGTTTCCAATGGGAACTGACCCCTCCAGACCCAACGCCAGGTCATGCCCCTGGAATGCTGAGGTTTGGTAGCCTGTGGACCTTTTAGATGGATAGTGAAGGAAGTTCTATCCTGTGGCGCCATGGCAGGAAGCAGGGCATGGAGCAGGGCATGGAGCCTAGCCATGGCAGGAAGCAGGGCATAGAGCAGGGGGAGCTGGTGGAGACTGGGGGGCTGGTGTGGGGGGCTGGTGGGAGGAGCCTAGGGTATGTGTGGGCCATGGAGTTTGTAGGGTGGGGGCGGCTGTGGGGTTCTTGGAGGGCTGCAGGGGGGCTGGTGAACCTCAGAGACAGGCTGCAGAGGGTGGGGCCTAGGGGCCCCAGCAGGACAGTCCCTGGGAGAAATGCAAGGCTGAGGGCCCAGGGAGACAAGAGGAAACAGTGGCCTTTGAGTGGCCCTGGGAAGGGGCCACTTCTGGGCTGAGCAGAGATAAGCAACAGGTGGGTTTGGCCAGGCAGAGCCCAGACACACCATTCTCAGAGCCCCAGGAGGGTCTGGGGACCCCTCAGACAGGGAACTGGAAAAGGACAGGGTGGGAGGATAGCTTGAGAAGAGCCTCGCCCAGTGCTCAGTGTGGGCGGAAGGCTAGGGAGCGGGAGCACTCTCAGTCTGCAGGGCATCTGCAGCTACATCCTGGAGGCTGGAGCCTCTGCCCAGAGGCCCGGGCAGACCACTGGTGCCAGTCCCCATGACCCGCCTAGGCCAGGGACCTAGCTCCACCCGGGTACAATATACCCACCTGTACTGAGCATGTCACTCCTTCCCCTGAGCCTCAATTTCCTCTTCTGGTAAATAAGAAGATCCCTCAGTTCAAGAGTACACAAGGACTGAGGAGCCATGTAAAGCAAGGGCCAGCCCAAATCCATACCCTCCCTGGTGTGGAGAGGGGCCCTCTCTGGGGCACGTACCCGAGGCAGTGGGCTTGGGCATTTGGTTTTCTCTGCAGGAAGACAAGCTCCCAAGTGCTGAAGGAGAAACTTAGGGGGTACTTTTCCTTGGATGGGCCCAGAGGACATGGCTAGTCCAGTATTTAATGCCCCTTGGCCACCTGTAGGCCCTGGGGAGGAAAGAATGACGTCTTCACCCACCCACCTCACCCACTGTGAGAGTTCCAGTCTCGCCTCCTCCAACCTGGTCAGGAGGGGAAGCATTGTGCCAGAAGGTGGGGAGGATGCCAGCAGGTGCGAGGCCAGGCATCCAGGTGCTCAGGTCCATCAAGCTGTCCCCAAGAGAGGTCCCGGGGGCTCTAGGCTGTGTGAGGCCCTCTGGGGCATCAGCACCCTTGCTGGGAGTAGACTAGACCACACAGGCCCCAGGGCCCCGGGCCCTGTCACATCAAGCTCTTCAATCCCTGCCTGTAATCCCCACCTCACACCACACACAGGAACATGGTCTTGCATACAACACAGGGAATAGGCTTCTACTAACACAGAGCCCTCCTGGTAACCTGGGCAGTCTTCTCCCAAGATGTCTGGGCATCAGCAGGGGCAGCTTCCAGAGCTGCAGGAGCCCTTAGACTGGCCTCAACATCGCTCTCGTTTACCAGATGAGCAACTGAGGCCAGAGTACTCTGGCCTGGTCTGGCCATTCATTCATGCAGTCAACACATATTTATTGAGCATCGACTCTGTGCCAGGCCCAGGGGGGCTCAGAGACGAATCATACACAGACCTCGCCCATGAGGCGCTCACAGCCTGGCAGGGCAGTTGGTCACGTCAAAGGACACTCACAATACAGTGTGGTCAGTGTGGTGTTAGAGGTAGCACAGGTGACCAAGGGAGCACAGAGGAGGGGCCCCTGGCCCGGCCGGGGGCGGCAGGGAGGGCTTCCTGGAGGAGGTGACACCTGAAGAGGGTTTTAGGAAGTGAGCAAGAGTTAGGGTGTGTGGCAGAGGGAGTGGCCTATGCGAAGAGGTCCGGGGTAAGAGACGGCACGTCTGGGCGGCAGCTGGGAGTTAGGCAGGGGCCAGTCCAGGAAGGGCGTGGAATTAGCAGTGGACAGGGAGCTCTGGGGGGGAGGGGGGAGGTGTGAAGCAGGTGGTGGTTGGCAGGGGGCCCACTGGGAGCCAGCGTGGAGGGTGCCCCTGAGGAAGGGGGCAGGGGAGCAGGGTGGGTGGCAGTGGGCTTGCAGAGGAGCGTGGGTGTGATGCCTTTGCCCGAGGAGTCCCATCCAGCCCAGGCCCGCTCAGCAGGGCGGCGGGGGTGCGGGCTGCCAGCCCCGGGGCAGCAGAGTACAAAGCACAGGGTCCAGCGGCTTGAGCGTGGCCTGCTCCTGCAGCCCGTAACGCTGCCCGGGCACCAGCCGGAACTCGAGCCTCTGCAGCAGCTTGGCCATGACCACCTTCACCTCCATCTGTGTGCAGAAGTGAGGAAGGGCAGGAGGCACGGGCGTGAATGTGCAGCTGCCTGGCCCAGCCCCCAGCCCCCAGCCAGGGGTCCCAGAGCAGGGCTCTGAAATGCCTCCTGGCCCAGGACGAGACACCACCCCTGAAGTCAGCTCCGGGCAGAAGCCCCAGCCGTGGCCTCCTACCTGAGCAAACTGCTGCCCGATGCAGGAGCGCGGTCCCAGAGAGAAGGGGAAGTAGGTGAACCTCGGCCTGCAGGGAGAGAGGAGTCAGGAGGTGGCAGTCCTGTCACAGATCCACCCCAGCGGTGACAAACCCATCCCTCGCTGATGCACGGCTGTGCACCAGGGCTGGGTTTTGCATACACTGAAAACATCAACAGCTGGCTCCGTCAGGCTCTGCATCAGCATTTTCTCATGTTATCCTCCTCTGGAGCCTTCCAGAAGGAGCTGTTATTATCCCCAGTTCACAGAAGGAGGAACTAAGGAGCTCACGATCCTATGGCACTTCTATGTTCAGCTGGTCACATGTCCAGTTCTGGGCAGAGTCTGGATGCAGGTGGCCTGTCCCTGGAGCCAGCCACCAGCAACCCCCCCTCACTGTACTTTCAGGCATTCACCCCCATAGCGAGCTGCAGACGGAGCCATCAGGATTCCCATTTCTCAGAGAGGACCATCAAAGCAGGGGGAGGTGCGGTCCCTGGCCCGAGTCACAGGGCTTCCCGGTACAAGGGATGGGTTCTGAGCATGGGTGCAGAAACCAGTCTGAGCTGGCTTCAAGCCCCAGCTCTGTGGCTCCTGGCTTCATGCCCTTGGACAAGTTACCTAACCTCTCTGAGCTGTGATTTTGTCTCCATTAAAGGGGGCAGAGTGCGGATCACAACTCCCTCACAGTGATCTGGAAGGCTATGTGGGCTCAGGGGTCATAGGCAGTTCAGAGCAGAGATCACTGGACATCCTTCTCCCACATGCACAGCTTGAAGAGAGACTTACTTGGGTGCTTTGGGGCTGAAGCGATCGGGGTTGAAAGTCAGTGGGTCCTCAAAGTACGTGTCCATACGCCCCATGACGTAGGTGCTGAACTGCGGGGCAGAGGATCCACTTGTCTCCAGTTCCAAAGATGAGCACCCTCACACCTCCCCGACCCGCTGCAGCCACCCAATGGAGTGACCAGGAGCAGAGGAGGCCCACTCCCCACTCTACTCCACCCCCCCATCTGGGCCAGTGTGGGACTCCACTGGCTCCTGGAAAGTGCCTAAGAGGAAGGAGGGGGACAGCCCAGTGTGCCAACAAGGGCATCTGGCTGCTGCATCATCCCATGCTTGGCCCCGTGCAGTGGGGGGACTACAACTATCCCTATTTTACAGATGAGAAAACTGAGGCTCAGAGAGAGGTTCATGACTTGCCTAAAGTCAGCCGGCAAGTAAGTGGCCAAACTGAGATTCAAACTCAGGTCTGCTTCGAGAGCATCTTTCTCAAGATCTCTGAGAGCTGTTATTTGGCACAAGGCTTGCATCTGGGGTGTCGGGGGGCGCTGAAGAGGGGTGAGGCAGAGGAGCCCAGGGGCCCACTAGCCTTTCAATGCATGCCACGTCACCTCCCTACTGGGGTTAATGTTCCATGCCCCTGGCCTCCATGGGCCATACATGCCCCCCATAACTTGGGCCCTGGGTCCCAACCTCTGCCTCATTACTCTTGCACAAAAGAGCTCCCTGAGCCCCCTCTGCCCCTGGTTCTTTGTGCTGAGAGTCCAGGGCATACAGGGTGAAGGGAGGGCCTGGAACGAGGCTCTGAAAAGTGGGTGGGAGCATAAGGTGGAGAGGTGTCTGAGACCAGCGAAGGGCACCTACTGTGTGCTAGGGAACTTTGCCAGACACGTGACTACATTATTCTTTGACTCTTCTCAGTAAACTGTGACTCAGGGATCAGGCATCATCATCCCCATCTTACAAGGAGGGCACTGAGGCCCAGAGATGACCCAGCCTGCCAGAGCGGGGCTGGCACTGGAACCGGGGTCTGCCCACTCACGGCCCACACAGCTGTACACTTGCCCAGCCAGACGTAAGGGCATTCTAAACCGCCACCTCGGTCACTCAGACAGGTGGTACTGGCGCAGGGGTGTTAATAAGAAAAAAAGGGAGCAGATAAACAGAATAAAGAACACACTCTGACATAAGCTGGAGAGGGTGTAGCAGAGTCCTGGGAAGCCCAGGTGGGGCAGGATGGGGGAGGGGGCTGCCCAATAGATAGAACCAGAAGCATGTCGCTTTCCTGTGTAAGTAAAAACGGGTCATGCCATGGGCTGAACTGTGTCCCCCTAAAATTCTGATGTTAAAGTCCTAACCTCGGAATGTGACTGTATTCCAAGATAGTCTAATCAAGTTATAATGAGGTCATTAGGGTGGACCCTACTCCAGTCTGGCTCGTGTCCTTAGAAGAAGAGGAGATTAGGACAGACACACACAGAAGAGGTCTTGGGAGGGCACGGCGGGAAGGTGGCATCTGCAAACCAAGGAGAGAGGCCTCAGGAGACCCCAACCCTGCCAGCACCTCGATCTTGGATCCCCAGCCTCTAGAACTGTAAGAAAGGACATTTCCACTGCTAAGCGCCGCATCTGTGGTGCTTTGTTCTGACAGCCCCAGGAAACAAAACCACATCCCTACCTTACACCATACGCAAAGTCAACTCCAGGTGGATACAAACTTAACTTGCGAAAGAAAAGTGTGAAATTGTTAGAAGACAACGTAAGCGACAATGCTGACCTCAGGATGGGGGCGGGGGGGTTCCCTAAGACAAGAGAAGGGACACTACAAACTTAAGAACTTCAGATCATTGAAAACGCTTTAACAAAGAGAATCCACAAACCTAAAGACGACATTTGCAACCCACATACCTGACAAAGGATTAACATACGATTTTTTAAAGAAGTGCTGCAGAGCGATGAGACAGCCCAGAAGGAGAAAAGTAGCACAGGGCTGCGAGCCTCGCTAGGAAGTAACCAGGAAAGTGCAAATCAAGACCACAGGGAAGTACCTTCCTTGCACTTGTTCGGTTGCCAAAAATAAGAAGCTGGGCCATACTAGGTGTTGGGGAGGATAAGGAACCCCGTTGGTGGGAGTCCGGGTTGGCACAGGTGCTCTGGAAAACATTTTGGTGCTAGTTTACCAAGCTGATCATTCAGCTATCCCACACCCCAGCCCTCCCACCCCCGTCTGCACCGTCCACCGGTCATGCGGGCAGGAACAGTGGCAGCAGCAGGAAACGGGGCAACTCTCGGATGCCCACTGACCCAGAATTGAGAACGGGGCGGTGGTCTCCACATAGCAGAATATGATACAGCAGTGAACCGAGGGCCTCCAGTCACAAAGCAATCCTGGGACATATCACCTCGTGGGCATACACACACACACACGCGCGTGCACACACACACACGCATACACAAAAAGGCGAGGCAATGGCAAGCACAGAATTCAGGACAGTGATTGCTTCTGGAGGGAAGCTGGACAGTGACACATTTCTAGTTTGGGGGTGGGTTTCCAGGAGTCACTGTGCATGAAGGGATGCCCGATGGGGGAATAAATGAATGTATGTGTAAACAAAGAAACAAGTAGGGGCACCCGGGTGGTTCAGTCGGTTGAGAGTCCGAATCTTGATTTTGGCTCAGGTCATGATCTCAGGGTCGTGAGATCGAGCCCCGCTTGGGCTCTGTGCTCAGCATGGAGCCCGCTTAAGATTCTTCTCTCCCTCTGCCTCTGCCCCTCCCCACCCCTCTGCTCACACTCTCGTGCTCTCTCTCTAAAAAAAAGAGAGAGAGAGAGAGAAAGAAAGAAACAAGTAAAGGAGAGGAGGGAGGGAAAGTCACCCTCCGTGGAAGAAGGGGCTGTGGAGGGGAGACAGAAGGAATTGGACAGCCTGGGGTCAGCTGTGAAACTGGGCACATCTTGTATCTGCCCCCGGCCAGGTATGTGACCTCAGGAAAGTGACCTAACCTCTCTGAGCCTCAGTGTCCTCAGATGTAAACAGGGTGCCTCCTTTCCAGAATCATCCACTGTAACCTTACACCAGTGTGAAAGGGAAGAAAGACCTCACAGTGTCATAGTGCAACTTGAATGAGAAACCCCAGTGGTGACAACAGGACCACGGACGTCCCGACCTCAGAGCTTGGTCACCCTGGGGGCAGGCAGGGAGGGCCCCCACACACCAGGAGCGGGGTGTTTCCGGGCACTCTGACCCCGTCAATCAAGGTCTCCTCCTCCAGCAGGCGAAAGGTGCCCCATGCCGGCGGGTACAGCCTCAGCGACTCTTTGAGAACCTACAGAAGCCACACGGGGAGACAAAGAGAGAAGTCAGGAGATCCCCCCAGAACGTGCCAGTGGCGTGCCCCAGACCCCACTTTGCTCCCACTTCCAGGACCAGGTCCCAGACCCCCGCCAAGTTAGCCTCATCTTCTTGTCCAACCCCTCCTGTCACAGGAGAAACTGAGGCCCAAAATAAGGGGGTTGTGCAGAACCACCATGATGGAGCCCGGACCAGGACCCAGGCCTCCCTCTGAACCAGGGCACCACCTTCTCAGAGGAGCCCTCCCCCAGCTCAAGCCAGGCCTCCTGCTGTGCTTTGTCGGGACCAGAGGGGGCCGCTGAGTCTGGCCCCTGGTGGCCAGCTTGAGGCTCCTGGAAGTGCCCGGCCTCCCCCGGAAATGCAAACAGCGCCATTGGCCATTCGATCGAGGATCAAGGGTTGCTGGTCCGGGGAGTTGTTTTTTTTTTTTTTTAATATCCTGGGACATTCTCACGTGCAGTGAAGTTAGAGAACACCCGTACGAAAGAGTTCAGGGGGGCGGCAGGCCTGGCTTGACGAACCACCCACAAGCGCCCAGAAGCTTCTCTCCTGCCCCCACACCTGGGACAGGTACTGCAGTCTCCCCAGGTCGTCACAGTCCAGGTGCCTCTTAGAACCGATGACCTCGTCCACCTCCGCCTGCAGCCTGTCGGGGCAGACAAAGACAAGCTCGTCCCCGAGGAGGACAGGTCGCCGCCTACTAGTTTTAGGGAGGAGGGATGGAGGGGAGCGTGGAGAGCCGCCTGGGGCACCCCATCGGTCGCACGCACGCACGCACGCATGGCCCGCCCCATTGTTGAAGACATCCAGGAACCCACGTCGCAACCGAGATGCCCGAGCGGTTGCCAATTATGTTCCGGGGCCTTACAATATCCCCCCTCCGTGCTTGCTGCTTGGAACCGGCTGCAGAAAATAAATGCACCACCGAACAAGCTCTCTGCGCCGAGCAGCCTGGCTCAGCCTGGCTCAGCCTGGCTCACAGCAGCCCACAGCGGGAAACAACGAGCAGCGCACGGATGCCGGCTGAGTAAGCCTTAAGACGGGCACCGTTAGAAGAATATGCAGCACCGAAAGTGGATTTGGACCACGTCACACACACGAGGAACGTCACACCAAGCGTTAGCAAGGCTGTGGAGCAAGCGGAACCCTTGTGCATTGTCCGAGGGAATGGAACCTGGTGCGGGTGTGTATGGAAAATGGGATGGCGGTGCCTCAAAACGTGAAATGTAGAATTACCATATGCTCCAGCAATTCCACTCTGGGTGTGTGCGCCCCCACATTGAAAGTAGGGTCCCGTAGATACCTGTACACCCAAGTTCATAGCAGCATTATTCACAGTAGCCGAAGGCCAGAAGCAACCCCGGTGTCCATCACCACATGAATAGATTAACAAAATGTGGTCTCTCCATGGGGCGCTTGGGTGGCTCAGTGGTCTAAGCATCTGCCTTCGGCTCAGGTCTTGATCCTGGGGTCCTGGGATCGAGCCCCATGTCAGGCTCCCTGCTCGGTGAGCAGTCTGCTTCTCCCTCTCTCTCTGCCTCTCCCCCTGCTCCTTCTCTCTCTCTCATTCACTCTCACTCTCAAATAAATAAATAAAATCTTAAAAAAATATGTGGCCTAACCATACGATGGAATATTATTCAGTCTTAAAAAGGAGGGAAGTCTTGACACCTGCTAAAACATGGATGGAACTTAAAGACATTATACTAAGTGAGATAAGCCAGACAAAAAGGTCAATCACTGTGTGATTCCCATATGAGGTCCCTAGAGGAGTTAAATTCATAAAGACAGAGAGTAGAATGGGGGCTCTGAGGGGGGCCCAGGGGCTGAGGCGGTTGGGAAGCTAGTGTTTACTGGGGACAATGTCCGTTGCAATGATGAGAAAGTTCTGGAAATGGTGGTGGTTGCACAGCCATGGGATTGTGCTTAATGCCACTGAACTATGCCCTTAAAAATGGTTAAAATGGCAAATTTTGGGGGCACCTGGGTGGCTCAGTCGTTAAGCGTCTGCCTTCGGCTCAGGTCATGATCCCAGGGTCCTGGGATCGAGCCCCGCATTGGGCTCCCTGCTCGGC